AAGAGGAACCACCACAGTGGCACAGCCGCTTAAATGTCACCTTGTACGTACGTTAAGAAGTTTGTAATGCCGTGAAAACAAGTGCAGAGTGCAGGCTTTTGTTATCTGCCCTGTTGAAGCACATTTTAATATACTTGACCACTATTTTGAGTTATTGTTTGTTTTATTTATGGGGATATAGTACATTTGTTTTATTCATTTCATTGTTCAGTAAAATAATTTTAAATGTTTAGTCAAAGGTTTATGATTTGTTTCTGGTTTGTAAAAGAATAAACTGTATAGTTTTAAATAGCTCTATATAGCATTATTAGTGAATTGAACTTAAGATCAATCTGTTGATCTTGCAGTAATGTGACGTGATATTTTATATCTTTATAGGATACTTTTTATATGTTATCAATACACACTATAGTTGTAAGAATCATAGTCACCTCCATCAAAGAGCGGATGTGTTTGTTAGCGTGTGCTTCATTCTGTTTGCAAACACAACAGCTGGAAAAGATTTGAATGAACTTTGATCATACTTTGTAGGGCTGCAGAGTAGATATTGTGGTTTCTGTTCCTCTACCTCTCAGACGTTTAATTGGTCACTTTTGCTATTGAAACTGTGGAAGTGGCTAAAAGAAGCTTTAATCATAAACAACATTCTGGTCCACACTCTGTACCAGTCAGTGGGAGTACTGGATGTGTGGGCATACAGTGGGTACGCTGCTCAGATCAAACAGTCGGCCCAACATTTCACAGCAATACTGGGGCCCACAGTGGGCAGTTCACAGTGGGCCATATGAGTCTGCCCAAAGTGCAGCCATGTGGTTGCTGGGGAAATGTCGTCTGGCATTAATATCAGCACACAAAAGTGAGCCAGGAGCTTTGTGGCATAGGTTTTCATGGCTGAGCAGCTCCTGTAGGTGTGATGTGGATGTTACCCAGTATGTTTATCCATACACACTCATTAGCCACTGGCATTAGTTTGGACCTGATGTTGTCTCCAGAGCTGTCTTAACTCGTTGTGGCACAGAGTCAACAAGAAACCAGTTTGAGATAATTTGAGCTCCGTGACAAGATGTGTTATCCTGTTAGAAGCAGCCATCACTAAATCGGTATCAATTTCTTCTATTGTCCACTTTTGATGAGCCTGTGTGAATTCTAGCCTCAGTTTCTTTTCATGAGCAGTGAAATAGGTGTATCTAATAAAGTGGCCTATGATTGTAGCATAACTACAATATATATTCACATTATGACATCTAAATTTTGCATGGTTTTATTAAATATGCAATATGCAGTTTTCACATCAGATCAGATTTGACATATTTAACACATGTTATGTCTCGTATGATCTCTGACAAGTGTGCCTCTATGAGGCTATAAGAAAGACTCTCTAAAGGTGGGCAGTTGTCAGTTTTTTGTCATGTTTTTCTAAAAATACACATTTATTTAATAAGACTTAGACAGATAATTGTAATGATAAATTGAAATAAGAGTAAAGTGTATAAAGTCATAACAGCACCCTGTCTGTGTCACTCACACACAATCTTAGAGTCCAGGTTTAGTTGAACCAGGAGAGGGCGACATAGCTCTTCTTATGTATGATTTCCATGTATTTCCTACAATTTCAGTCACAAGGGACCATTCTAGTGCCATTCTACCAAAAGAAACAAATACCACCTCGGGGGAATCTGAAGTCGTGTGCAGTGCTGTGGTTAAAGACTTCAGTGCTGCAATTGAAAGATGTATAAGACTTTCCTCATCTACATTTAAAACAGCTGCAAAAGAACATGTGTACTGAATGAAGAGGTCTTTAGGCTACGTTCACACTGCAGGCGAAAGCGCATCAAATCCGACTTTTTTGACC